CTACTCATTAAATAGTAGATCATTTAGAGTTTATAATAAATGCACATTATGTGTAGAAGAATATGTACATGTTATATTCGATGAAAATAACCCCTCGATCGAGAAAGGAATTACTGCAGGTGATGAAGATCAAGCTCAAGAAATTCAGGAGACAAGCAAATCTCAAGAGTCAACTGATAAACCTGATGCTACGATACAGTCAACTAATGAAGTCAGCAGCAGTGTACCAGATCATCCGAAGGAGTCGACTACTAATGTAGTTCGTCCAAATGAATAGAGAAACGAACCTGAGTATCCTCAAAAATTCATCATAGGGGATCCAAATGAAGGAATGAAAACCAGGGGAGCTCTCAAAAAGAAAGCAAACATAGCATTAATCTCTCAGATTGAACCAAAAGATAGAGGAAGCTCTAAAAGACTGAAGTTGGGTACAAGCAATGCAAGAAGAGTTAGATCAATTTGGCAAAAATCAAGTGTGGAAACTGATACCCAAACTTGAAAATGTTTCTGTAATTGGAACAAAGTGGGTTTTCAGAAATAAATTGAATGAGGATGGAAAAGTTGTAAAGTTATTCACAACAGGAAGGAGTCGACTATGACGAAACGTTCGCTCCAATAGCTCGTCTGGAGTCTATACGAATTCTTCTGGCATATGCATCGTTTAAGGATTCAGGCCGTTTCAAATGGACATCAAAAGTGCTTTCTTGAATGGATTTATTGAGGAAGAAGTATACGTGAAGCAACCTCCTGGGTTTGTGAACTCAAAGTTTCCCTACCATGTTTATAAGCTCACCAAAGCACTATATGGACTAAAGCAAGCTCCATGAGCATGGTATGATAGACTTAGTTCATTTCTTATTAATCATGGCTTTACAAGAGGTAAAGTAGACACTACCCTATTTATTAAAAGATCATCCCAAGGTAATCTCATTATTCAGATTTATGTTGATGATATTATATTTGGTAGTGCTAACCCTCTTATGTGCAAGAAATTTTCAAATCTTATGCAAAGTGAATTCGAAATGAGCATGATGGGAGAGCTAACATTTTTCCTTGGACTTCAAATCCAACAATCTGAAGAAGGAACGTTTATATGTCAGACCAAATACACAAAGGAACTGATTCAGAAATTTGGCATGAGCAATGCTAAAGCCATTGTCACACCAATGAGTCCTTCAACGAGTCTAGACAAAGATGAACACGGAATCCCTGTTGATGAAACTAAGTATCGTGGAATGATTGGCTCACTGCTTTATCTAACTACAAGTCAAACGGATATTATGTTCTGTATCTGTAAGTGTGCCAGGTTTCAGTCAGCTCCTAAGGAGTCACATCTGACTTCAGTAAAGAGAATCATTCGCTATCTCATTGGAACTGTTTCTCATGGACTATGGTATCCTCGCTCTAACTCTTTTAAATTAGAAGGTTTTTCAGATGCCGATCTTGCAGGTGATAAGGAAGATAGAAAAAGCACAGGTGGTACGTGTCAATTACTGGGGAAGGCATTGATATCCTGGGACAGTAAAAAACAAGCATCAGTTACATTATCTACCACTGAAGCTAAATACATCGCTATTGGACAATGTTGTGCACAGCTACTATGGATGTCCCATCAACTTGGTGACTATGAACTTTCTTTTAAACCTATACAAATTTTGTGTGATAATTCAAGTGCTATTTGTCTCTCTAAAAATCATGTTCATCATTCTAGGGCAAAGCATGTAGATATTAAGCATCACTTCATTAGAGATCATGTTCTTAAAGAAAATATAGAAATAACTTCTGTTAGAACAACTGATCAACTAGAGAATATCTTTACCAAGCCTTTGTTAGAAGAAAGATTTTGTTCATTAAGAAAACTTCTTGGCATTATTTGCATTAATAGTCAAAAATAGGACCTATGTGCCACTTTTTAATTTTGTATATAAAATAGTCCATTTATGTTTCTTTTACACATTAATTACGCCTCCATTTTTCCCTCCTTTTTCCTTATCTTTTCACATCAGTCACAGAGTTCAGAGAAGGAAAACCAATCATCGCGACTGATCACTAACGGTTTTTCCTTTTCTATACTCAACCGTCAGAAAACCCCTTTTTATGTTGTCTTCTTGTATTAATCTCCATTGTCTCTATCGCCTTCATACCCCTCTCCGAAATCTTGCTCAACCACCAACCTCCTACAATGGATAAACAATCCAAAAATCCCTCTGCCTCCACTAGAAAGAGGACCCGCTCCAAGGGAAAACCCTCTTCTCATCCCCCTGAACAGGTAGACCTAGGGTCCGATCACTCTGAGGGGTTTGCCTCTTCTCGGGCGGATTTCTCTGATCATTCTCAACCCTTAGGAGAAAAAGCCCTGGGTAAAAGACCCATGGAAGAACCCCCTGTCCCTCCACTCCAAAGAAATCAAAAGTTGACCTTTCCGGTTCTCTTGAGTCGGAACTCAATTTCTGGGATTCTCCTAATAGGGACTTCTTTCTTGCCCTAAAAGACAAGCCTATTGCTCATGGGAGGGTAGTCGACCTTGATGACATGAAAGCCCTAAATTGTAAGGTAAAGGACCTTTTCGTTTTTCAGGGGTGGTCAAAGTTCTTTTCTGTTCCCAGCCTAAAGTCTATGAACCCTTAGTGAGAATGTTCTATGCAAATCTTCGTTCTAGTAGGTCTGATAAGTTAGAGACCTTAGTACTAGGAAAGCGTATTGTTCTTGACTGTTCCGTGTTTGATTCAATTTTTCAGTGCAAGTGTTCTGGTTTCCCTATGCTCTTTAAAAATTCCTGGCCCGATGATTTTGAAATTTCCATTGATCAAGCCAAAAAATGTATTGCTGAGTGTCCATCTGAGTCCCTTCCAAACCAGCTTGGCCCTAGTGATGTTAGTTTTGAAACTCATGTTCTAGCCCACATTGTGGCAACTACTCTGCTTCCTCGTACTGGCTCATTTTGCACCTTCTCTCTACAAGACACTTTTCTGGTCTATTGCCTTATGACCAAACTCAAAATCAAATTGTCCTCTTGGGTCATCAATTTCATGATTGAAAGTGCAGAAGATCCCACTAGTCTACCCTATGGAATGGCCATCACCCACATTTTGGAAGCTCACAATATTTCCATCTCTGCGTACTCCTTTACCACTGTTTCAAAATCATACAACTCCAGAGCCTTTGCAAGTATGGGGTATGTGTGTGTGAAGGGCTCATGGGTCAAGAAACAAGAATGTGATGTCAAGACTACTCATACAGACTCCAAGCCCAAACCTTCTGCTTCCCATTCTAGCCTCAGTGACTCTGACCTTGCTGAGAAAATTAGCTCCATTGGGAATCAGCTCTCTGCAATCAAGGATCTTCTCATTGCCACTCAGTCCACTGTTAGCACCATTCATGATATCTCCAAGGAAACAGGGTCTGATGTCTCCAAGATACGAGTTGCAGTTCTCAGAGTAAGGGAAAACACTGTCAAGGCTTTCAAGGAGGTTCATGACAGGTTTGATGGAATGAGTGTCTCAGCCAACGCCATCTTTGATCGACTAAAGGAGGCCATCTGCAACACTCTTACCTATTTTCTGCGTCGTTAGTGTGAAAGTTTAAGACAATTTTTTTTTGCTGTGCTATTTTTGGACTACAATGTTAGTCGGTGGATATTTTTTGTTGTTTTCGTTATGTTCTAACTCTACCTGAACATTCTGCTATGGATTATGGTTGTGCATGGTGTTTTATTATTCCCTCTTTGCTAATGTTAAAAAGGGGGAGAAAGGATATATGTATTCTGTGCAGGTACTGCTCCTATTGAGGGGGAGCAAGTTTTCCTGAAGAAGTCGACTACATGCGCCTCCAGCTACTTACTGCTCCTATTGAGGGGGAGCAAACTACAGGGAAGTCAACTGATGTTTATACATATATTATTTTGTCATCATCAAAAAGGGGGAGATTGTTAGATCTAATTGTAATGATGAAAATAATATATTTGCTCTTTGTATAGGAACTTTTGGGTAGCCGTCAAGATTGGCGAAATCAATCAGCAATGATCAAGGAATGTATGGATTGATATACAAGATTGACGAAATATATCAGAAATCATCAAGGAAAGGAGGCACGATTAAAGGAAGAAGCAATCAATCATGAAGATACTGACGGGACCAATCAAGGCTAAACTAAAGGAAACAAATAAATCAAGATCTCGCTGAATATTCAATCAAGTGTCTAAATATGGAGGATCAAGATTTCGGGTCGTTACAGAACATCCTTATTCTTGGAAAGAATCAATCTCTTTCCAAGGATCAAATCTCTTGGGTTGGCAAATCTTTCCAGATTCAAGCCTCTCTCAAAGTATTTAAACCTGTAATCACACCTTAGCAAAACATACTTTGATCGAACCAAATACCCTCTCTTTTTTCTTCTGCAAACAAACATTGTAGCTCTCTAAGACCTGCTGTGTAACAAGTTAGAGAAAATAAAATAGAACAACACTGGTGAGGCATTGTATCAAAAGAGACAAGTGATATAGGAACTGAGCTATCACATCATTCTCCTTGTACTCAAAGAAACTCATTCACTAAAGAGAACTCCCTTGCAACCCAAGGGGACTGGACTAGGATTCACATTGAATCTGAACCAGTATAAAAATTCTGGTGTCTTTAATTCCTGCATTTAATTTCAGCATCTTATATTCTGTTGTTACTACTGTTAGTTTATTACATCTAGTCGACTAATTGAAAAACTAGTCAACTAATAGCGATTAAGTTTAAAAATAAACAATTCCCCCCCGCCCCCTTGTACTTTCAAGTTTCAAATTCGAATATCATATTAGTCGTGTTAAGGAATAATTAATATTTTTTTAAAACATAGTAGTAAATTAAAAAGTATAAAATTCTATGATACTCCTTAACCTTCTTAATATTTGAGTTAGAAAGTANGCCTGCACTCAGAATGGGAAATTCAGCATCAGGAAGGCATATATTCATACTACTCCACAATATCCTAAAGTCCACTGGAAATCACTAGTTATGGTGACTGGAATGCTACCAAAACAGAAGTACATTTTATGGATGGCAATGCATAGGCGTTTGGCAACAGTTGACAGGTTAGCCAAATGGGGAATTCAAGTTGATCAGGCATGCATATTATGTGGGAGAGATATTGAAGAGACACATGACCACTTATACTTTGAATGTTCATACTCACAAAGTCTGTGGAAAGGAATGTTACAATGGCTGAAGTATCAAAGAACAACAGGCAACTGGGAAGCAGAATTGCAATGGCTAACTGCCAATGTCAACAACAGGAATCCAAGGAAGGCACTGCTAGGAGTGGTATTTGCAGCAGTAGTGTACAACATTTGGATGGAACGGAATGATAGAAGGTTTCAACAACTGAGCAGAGAAGCCAAAGATAGAGCAAAGGAGATTGCACTTCAAGTGCACATTGCTGGACAGAAGAAACCTAAATGGATACCTATTTTGCAGACTTTCAATAGTTACCCTATATGTAATCCTTGACACATGTGACAAATAGAGTCTATTTGTAGTAGGATTTAGCTAAGCAACCATAGTTGTATAGTTTTTTATTTGGGTGTACTTATGAGATCTGTTCTATAGTCCAAATGAACAGATGATGTAAATTGACAAATTGGTTGAAATAAAATTTTCCCTTTCTACCAAAAAAAAAAAAAGTGCACACTCAACCGCTTAAATAAAAAAATTGAAGAATATACAATTTATATATAATTCATGTATAATATATATAATTGTGTGTAATCAGCGTATCATCTATGATATGGGCTATAAAAGGCAAACAATAAATCTAGCCTGATATTTATGTACAAAGGATACCTAATATTTCGGTGACCTGATTTTATCCATGATGTGACTTGTCTTATAATAATTCAAAAAGCTCTCCACTAAAATTCAAAAATATATTATCATTTTATTTTTAAAATTTGTTCTACATCATAAAAAATCATCCCATTTCAAAATAACTCTTAAATATTTTTTGAAAAATATTTCACGTGATAGATTTTTTTTAAAAAACATACTTTTTTGTTATACTTAAAAATTAATTTAGAAAACTGTTAATTAGAAACTAATATTTCTCTCATTGAAATTAGAGAAGAAAATAATCTAATAATTCGAAATTAATATTCTTCAACGAAAAAAATTATATTCTTTAACAATGAATATGATTATGATATTATTTTCACCGCATCATTATAGTAAATCTCAAGAAGTACCATCATCCGAGATAACTTTCTTAACTTTGAATGATTTGGTTTTCAATTCAAAGTTATCACAAAAATTTAGATGATATTCTTTTTGTTTGAAATATTTATTTCTGAATTTAAAAAATGCTATTAAAGCTCATAGTAAACATGTCTTAAAATTATCAAGTGGCTTGTTAATAGCTTGACGCTTGGCTTCATCATTTTGCAAACTACTATACTCTTATCTATGTATTATTAAAAGGAGGGGTTACTTGATTAAAGTTTGCACCACAGCTTTCATAAAATTATCAAGAGAACTAAATTTGTTAGACCCAATTTCAAGAGAAGATCAAACTAAAGTTCAAACAACAACAATTACGTAACAACATAACCGATATAATCCCACATGGTGGGATCTGAGGAGGGTATTACGTACGCATACCTTACCCTTTCGCTGTGGAGATAGAGAGGTTGTTTTCAATAAACTCTCCGCTCAAAAAAATATAAGTACCACAATAATAAAAAGAACACCGAGAAGCCATATAAAAGCAGCATAAATAACAACAAAATAATAAGATGATTGAAATGCAAAAAACAACAGGTACTCAAAGAAACCGAATAGCAACCAAATGTGAAAGTACGTACCAGCACTACCGGTATGAATAATTTAGACTACCTAACTTACTACTCTAATCCTCGACAACTACTCCTTCCTATTAAGGATCATGTCCTCGGACCTCGGTCAGTTGTAGTTGCGTCGGGTCATGCCTAATCAAAGTTCAAACTCACACTAAATTATAAACTTTGTCATAATTAGTTGTCTTTGCAAAGTGAAAGAAATAAGAAAAAAACAATAAAACAAAGAAATACACCAAGGGTGTGTTTGGTATGAAGGAAAATATTTTCCATGGAAAATGTTTTCCTAGAAAATATATTCATGGAAAATGAGTGGTTTTATCACTTACTTTTTCTTGTTTGGTTGGTAAGTGGAAAATATTTTCCGGAAAATATTTTCTATTGTTTGGTTAGAGAGTAGAAAATATTTTTTTTAGGAAAATATTTTTTATGCAACTCTCCTCACCCCTCCCCTTCCCCCTCCCACCTCTCCCCACCCCTTCCTGAAGTCTCTAAAAATTGACACAACCCAAAGGAACTAATGTGATGCTTTACTTTTTTACGCAAAAACCCGCGCGAATTTTCGAACCCGTAAACTTCCAAACACATAAACCTCCGAACTCATAATTTTAGAACTTGTAAAATTTCGAACCTGTAAATTGAAAGATAAAAAAAATAAAACTGAAAATATATAAAAAAAATATTTTTTTTCCTTGGGAGAGGTGGGGGGGGGGGGGAGGGGCAGGGGTATGTGCAGAAAAATAAAAAAATAGAAATCTGAAATTACAAAAAAAAATTTTTTGGGGAGGGAGGGGGGTTGGCGGGATAGCAGGGGGTGGTGACGGAAAAAAAAACTAAAATTTAAAAAAAAAATCCTTTTTGGAGAGAGGAGGTGGGAGGGTGGGTTGGTGAGGGAGGAATAGGATGGGGAAGGTTGAGAAGGAGTTTTGGAAAATGTTTTCCCTTCACTTGATAAGGAAAACATTTTCCCTTCACTTTATAAGGAAAACATTTTCCTCCAATTGGAGGAAAATGAGTTGATAAGGAAAATATTTTCCAAAATATTTAAGCCAACCAAACATGGAAAAATTGAAAAATATTTTCTGAAAAATATTTTCCTTCATACCAAGCACACCCCCAAATGTCGTATACAATGTTTTATATGCAAGTCGGGACTTGTCCATGCACGACTTGAGACTCTATTCAAAGTACTCTACCATAAATTATAGTACTATAATATATTGCTCCACAATTTAAAAATTTGATGACTTGGTATATTATTATGTCTACGTAGTGAAATCAATTTAGCACATATTTTCTTAATTTCATACAATTTAAAATATATTTAAAACATTTTTTCATGGTTTAATATCTTTTGAAAATCTAAATACATTTAATTTACTGCCCCGCTTCAACCCCAATTAAAAAAAGCAGAATTTTCCAAATATTTGCATGGCTTTGTGATTCCAAATCACTTTTATGCAGAAAGAGATATGTCAACTTCAGGAGATATTATTAGTGAAAGTTGAACTTTGAAAATACTCAATTGGTATATTAAAATGTATTCCTACCACTAAGAATCAGCAACATGGCTAAAGCAAATGAAAAAGACACATTTAAAAAGTTTTTTCTTTTTTCACTTATCAGCACAAATCTCAATAAGCTTCCCACTCACAGTTATGGCTTTTTTTTTTTTTTAATCACTTTTCAGTCTATTTTCAGCAAACAACATACTTAATGTGTTTCATTTTATGTGAATCTATTTCTTTTTTAGTCCGTGCAAAAAAGAATGGCCCAATTTCTTATTTGGAAACAATTTACCTTTATAGAATAATTTTATAGCCACACAAAATATATGTGCCTCATTTTATACCACAAGATCAAAAGTCTTCCATTTTTTCTTAAACTCCGTGCTCAGTCAAATGAGTTCATATAAATTGAACGGAGGGAGTAATAATATGAAAGTGGATGAGCCCTATAACTACGTACTTATTTTCCTCCTAAATGCTAAGCGGACATGTCGTCCAGGTGTCTGTTAACTCTCCCTTATTAGATTTCCAAAGGGTAATAAAGAAACTTTTTTTAAACTAGTGTCGGGCCTGTTTCCGCATACTTTTACTAATTTCAGAAGTATCTATTAACTCTTATTAATATATACTTTCTTCGTTTCAGTTTAAATCAAATAACTTTTTTATTAGTGCGTTCCAAAAAAAATAACGTATTTTTACATTATTTAAATTGAAACGGAGAACGTATTATTTTTACCTATACTAAAATTTGAACATGAAATTTTATGAGATAATAAAGGAACTTTTAAGACAAAGGAAGGAAGAAAACAAAAAGATGCTGGTATGGGGTGGTCTTGGTATTAACAGGTAAAAATATAAAATTAATCAAAAAAATACACAAAAAAGAAAAAAAAACCCAAAAAAAGAAAAAAGAGTTGATGTGTGATGTCAATGTGGGTGTTGTACTCTTCCTCTTTGCTCTTTCTTTCTTTCTTTCAACTACTGCTCTTTCTTCACTGATATTTATTTCCTTCAAGTTAGGGTTTTTAACTCCCTTTTTCTCTTTATTTTTCTTACTCACAATTATGTACAACTTTACTATGTAAGCTTTACATGTAGTCTTTTAACTCTTTAATGGGTGTATCTTCTTCTTTTTTTTTTTCTATTTTTTCTTTTTATGTATTTTGTTGAGCAGTTGAATTTATGTTTATACTTAATTCAGTTGGGGTTTAGTGGAAAATCTTGAGCTGTATGTTTTGATGAGTGTTTCAGCTTGTTTATGACTTGGTTTTTGAGCTTGAATTTGGGTTATTTATTGTTTTTGACTTGCTTTGATTTTTGGGGTTTCACTTATATGAACTGAGTGTAATTTGTTCCTCAGAATCTTGATTAATTGATTGTTTAATTCCTACTGAAGTTCATTACCTGTTCATGTAATTGATCTACAAGATTTCATTTTTTAAGTGCCAATTTCTGACTTTACTATTTTTTGGTTGTAAAGATTGGTTCTTTCTATGCTGAAAGACTTGGTTTTGATGTTAGAACTCTTTTTTCTGCTTTAGTTTAGGTTAAGTCAAGGCATTGTTCGGTGGAACAACTTATTAGCCTTAAAACCTTCAGACCTCCATTCATTTTCGTCTATTTTGTATGTCGTTGAGCCGATACAGTTAACACTGTTTAGTTGGAAGAAAGAACTAGTTAGAGTTAAGCACGCCATTATGATACAATCTTCAAGCTTGGGTTTTTAATCTTCTTAATTTTTTCCTGTTTGAGTTTGGAGCTACTCTTTAGGTTGAATTGCTTGTATTGAAATTCTTAAGGTGATTGATTATTGGCATTGGTGTAATTTCGTTGCTCTGTCTACGTGGTTGAAATCACAGCAGTTTTTTTTTGTTGTTGGATGAAAAAGTAAGTCCATAGTAAGCTGTAGTCGTGGAAGATAACTAATGAGTACTGTGTTTGTCCATCTTATTGCAAGTTTTTAGCACGAGGAAACAATTTACTACCTTATATAGCTATACATGTTCCTTACTTCCAGTTAAATGGAACAAGTTCAAGAACCGAAATATGTCCAAATGATTGTTCATGTTTGGGTGAAGAGATAACACTAGTTAAAAAGTGTGCCCTTTCCTATATTATCGTAATTCTTTTGGGCAAATAGATAACATGGAGCTTCCATTTTTCGTGCTGGCCATTGATAGTCTGATATGAGCTATGTTGCAATGTTTTTTCAGAAGTTAATACTGCAAAAATTCTCCTTTTGATCTGTATTTTAGCTTGAATTTCATCCCGAGATCAATTATAAATGATACTAACACGATTTAACAGTGCTATGTTTCTTCCTTTTTTCTTTAAGATATTTTTTCTACGCTTATTTATATTTTTATTTTTTCTACGCTTATTTGTAATAGTGTCAAGGGGCTGCCGCATTGGCCTTACATAGCTTAGCACCAACAATAATTTTGTACTTGTTCAGAATTGGGGATGCTCTCTTTATGGCATCTTAGAACGAATTAATCATGCCGGTTTAATGTGCCAAGATCTTCCAATGGCTTTTTCTGTCACGGGTTTATTGGGAGATTGTCTGGTCTCCGATTTACACCATTTAGCTGTTCCAACAGATTCTGCTGAAATAATTTTGAAAATACTTAGTCCTGAGTCTTATCCTGAATTAGCTTATTCATATCTGTTCTGCCTTTCAGCACCTCCTCTGAATTTAATTCTACACGTTTTATGTCGTGTCACTCGGTTGAAATCTGATTATCAGAATTGCTTTATCTTGTCATAACTCGTAACTAATCTGCGCTTTCATTTCCCCTTCTGGGATGGATATTAAATTTTTATGTCAAGTCCGGATTATTGTAATCTCTGGACCTCTACCTATTTAACGGCACAAATATGTGTATTTCCACCGTCACCAAAGCGTTAATAATCTCCCGTTCTTTGCTTGTCCCTGCTTCCTTACGTTTCTCTCAAGTTCAATGGAGCTAATGATGAGTGTTTGTCTTTCAGGTTCTTTATGATTCAGCCTTGATTAAGAGAATGCAGATCTGAGCCTGTTGGTTGTTGGTAAGTTTGTGATTGCTGAATTCATTTATTAGCTCAAAGCTCTAAATCTATGTATTTGCTTCCTGAAATGGAATGGATTAAAATTGTTGGATTTTCCCCCCTTTTTACAACTCTTGTGTTTCCCTTATTTTCTTTTGTTAAGAGCATTTGAAGAGAAAGGCTTCGGTGGTTGATTCTTCCTGCTCGTGTATTTTTTTAAGTATTAGAGATATATGGCATTCGGCGACACTATCCATGCCGTGAAGAAGATGTGACCTGTTTATTTTCTAAATTTTGGCGACAGGGATTGATTTTCCTTGATGAGTATACGTCAATTTTATCGGAGTGAAGGCTGTAATTGATTTTGACATTAACCACCCACATATATCTTATGGATGACAGTGGGCATCGTGATAACGGAAGGCATAAACCGCCTCAGGGTCAGGTATGTAGCAGCAGTTAAAGTTGATTTCCAGTTTCTTAGTTTGGATCTTAACTAGGATTCCCAGGTGTTGTAACCAGAGTAGAATCAGAGATTTAAACTTGATGAGTTCAATCTGTATGTTCTTAGTTGTAAACCCATTGAACTTTAAAAACTATGGGTTCAAAATGTACCATTTACTGAAGTTTTAGAGATGTTACACATGTATATCTAAGAGTTGAACACGTACCTTCTTATTTACATCCGTCACTGATAGTAACTAAAAAATGCTGTGTTGAATCTGTTATATGAACAGTGGATTCAGTTTTTTCCCCCATATTTCAGTGGTTGATGCAGCATCAGCCATCAATGAAGCAGATAATGGCAATCATGGCAGAAAGAGATGCCGCCATACAAGAGCGGAATCTGGCCCTTTCTGAAAAAAAGGCTGCCTTGGCAGAGCGTGACATGGCTATCCTTCAGCGGGATTCAGCAATAGCAGAACGAAATAATGCAATCATGGAGCGGGATAACGCCATTGCTACTCTTCAGTATCGGGAAAGCTCGATAAGTGGTGGTGGTCAGATTGCCCGGGGAGTGGTAAAACACATGCACCATCCTCAACAACATGTACACGTACATCATCAGCCACATATGGGAGAACCTACATATAACCCGAGAGACATGCATGTGAATGAATCCATGCCAGTTTCACCTGTTGCACCGGAGCCCACAAAGCCCCGTCGGAACAAAAGAGCTAAGGAGCCAAAGGCAATGACGGGTTCCAAAAAGACTCCAAAAGCGTCGAAGAAAGTAAAAAGGGAAACTGAAGATCTTAACCAAACGACATTTGGCAAGTCACAAGAGTGGAAGGGTGCACAAGAGATGGGCGATGCAAGTGATGACCTTAATAGGCAGTTAGCTGTGTCAAAACCCGATTGGAAGGATCAAGACCTGGGGCTAAACCAAGTCGCATTCGATGAAACAACAATGCCAGTCCCAGTTTGTTCCTGCACTGGAGTTTTAAGACCTTGCTATAAATGGGGAAATGGAGGTTGGCAATCCTCGTGTTGCACGACCAATTTGTCGATGTATCCTCTACCAGCCGTTCCTAACAAGCGACATGCCCGAATTGGTGGTCGAAAAATGAGTGGAAGTGCATTCACCAAGCTGCTTAGTCGTCTGGCGGCAGAAGGCCATGATCTGTCAAATCCAGTTGATCTCAAGAACCACTGGGCAAAGCATGGGACGAACCGCTACATCACCATCAAATAATGTTTCCGCTCATTACATTCCTTTATTGTGGGTGAGAGAAGGATTCTATTAGCGCGAATGTAAGTTTATCGTCCTAAAATGTCAGCTGTTTACTTCATAGTTGTATCAACGGGAGATAACTGTAAAGAAGCATTGTATTCAGGAAACTTTCTGTTGTATCAAACGTTGATGTTAATTTATTGAATATCTAGTATGATGATTACATAAGGTTCTTGACTCTACTTACAGTAATTTGCTTCTTTTTGCTGGCCTTCTCTATTTTAAAACCCTGCAGATAATATCTGTCCCAACTATTCTCTTTTGTTTACTCCCATAAAAATGACTTGTTCTAACATTGTTACTCTCTTAACTAATTTTCGTTTTCTTTTGTATGAGAACAGAGACCAGACAACAACGGTGACCGTACTAGGACTATGACTCGTTTGCTACGAGGGATAATGGATAATTAATCCCGAGATTAAATTTGAGATGAGTTAATCCCATGTTTGGTTGGGATAATTAAACTCGCATTGTAGTCTGTTTTTATCTTATGAGAGGGTGGGCTAACACTTCCGGATAATTAATCCTGGGATAACTTGTTTCCAACCAAATGACCCCTAATTACTTTCAAGATCTCTATGTATACGTCCATGGTATAACACTAAAAGGGTCATTTGGTTCGAAGACAAGTTAAGCAAGAATTGATTTATTACATTTGGTTTATTTGTTCAAGGAAAAAGAACAAATAAATTACATTTGGTTTATTGTTATTTGGGACATTTTTGTAAGATTTCCTTTAAAATCCAATTTCCTTCTGCTTCTTTCACCTAAAAATTCTTAAACTTTATTCGGATAACTATCGAATAGACTAATTGATGTAAACAAATAAAAAAGATTTCACGTAAAAACACTTTCTTCCAATGAAGAATTATATATTCACACAGACTCCTACATGCACCACATTCTACTATAGAATATATATAGGAGTCTATTCAATCACCAGCGATATATATACTTATTTCAACCAAAGACCTAAGAGGATCATATCGCATGGAAGAGGAGGCAATGGACGAAGAAAATCGTAACTGTTGTGTCCGTCTGGCGGATCCAGGGCCTAACGACTGTCATTGTTGTGCTGGAGAAGACGATGGCGCTAATTTTCCTCCCATTGCGCGCGTTTATAGGTGTTTAACGTTAATTTTTGGATTACTAACTTTTGTTTCGTATCTACTAGTAGCATATATAGTTGCAGTCAAAATAGGTAATAATCGCTGCAACGCTACCTGTGGTTACCTGAGCATTCCCATTTTCTTTTGCTTTTTCACATTGTTATTTTGTGTCTTACACGTCCGTAAGATTTGGAATATAGAATGAGATCAAGTAATTTCTGGTAGACGAACAAGTTTAGGAGTCAATTCTACTGTTTTTTCCCGTTGTCTAATTGTTTAGCTCAAAAATTATATTCGTATTTTATACGCTTAAAGACAATCGAAAATATATAGGGATAAATCGTAATCAAATATAATAAGCCCAAGAGATGATTATTGCTTCAAGAATGTTTGTAGATATGTAAGTGCGTAGTGAAATAGACTTAGCTTAAGAGGGAAGCAATGGTTGGAAAATCAAGAAAGAGATAAGAGAGAGAGATAGAGAGAGAAATTGTATTATCCGAGAATAACCATCCCCCTATTACAATGTGAAGGTCTCCTTTATATAGTAGGAGACCTCCCTCGAAATAATCAAAAAGGTACAAAAGTTGGTGGCTTCTACTCAGTAAAAAGGTCAGGCACTAAACGACGTCACTTCTTCTTCACCAACTTGGGCCGTGCCCTCACTCGGGTCGCCCTTATTATAAGGGACGTGCCCATTTGGCGTGGGGCGTTATGAGCCAAATTTAACCCTATACAGTTAGTCCCTCCGTTCGTTGGAGACGTACTCGATGACCGTCTTCAATGGACGGACATGCACGATTTGCTTTTTACGGAAATTTGGCTGCGCCCATAGGTGCCTCTTTCGAAGAGCGTGAGCGTGGATAATATTTATTGGGACGTTGACATGCGACCCCCTTTTTTAAGGTGACGTCACCAGTCACATGCGTCATCATTATTTTTGGTTCCCGAGACTGTTCAGAACATGACGTGACGTTTTGGCTTCCCGCGCCAGTTTCAGAATTGTGCCTCTTCGATTTCCGTGTGCCTCATTCATATAAATAGAGGAGTGGTTCAAAGAGATTCATCTTTCGAACCTTCGGAGAGTTTCCCTTTGTTTCTTCATCTTTCTTTCTTGCAAGAGTTGTATCGCTTTCAGAGAAATACCATTTCTGAGGATCGTATCTCTCATTACTAACACTTCATTCTTATAAATCGTATCATGGTGAAACGCCGTCAAGAAAGCAAAAGGACTAAGGACGGCGCTTCTTCTAGGGTTCCGCCCCCTTCCGATGGTGAAAGGGAAGAAGTGGAGAAGACCCTTGTTCCTTTAACGGTAAATAAGGTTTTACCGAAGGATTTGAGTGTCCGGAAAGATTTCAATACGACATGCCCCTCTTATCCCTGGGAGCATAGCGAGTTGCTTCAGTCTCACCTGGACGCCATTAGAACTAGATACAACATTCCTGGCCATGTTGAAATGGCTACGGCCGGGACGGACTATGCCAATGTGCATAGGCCCGGGTTCTGCACATTCTATGAGTACGCTCTTAGGATCAGATATAGCTTTCCGCTTAACCCCCTGGCGGAAGAGCTTTGCCGCTTCTATCATGTATGCCCGGCTCAGCTCACACCTTACGCCCTGAAGGTGTGTCGAATACTTACCACGCTTGCGGGTGAGGCCGGGACCGTCGTTTCCGTTCACCACCTGCTGCAGATGTTAAGCCCCAGTTACATGAGGGGTACCATGCTTCAATTGAGGAGCCTTGGTAAGAAGAGCTTTGTGGTGAGGGCTGACGACAAAGCTAACCGCGAGTTCTGGCGTAAATTCTTTTACGTTAGGACGAGCCATCTGGTGTCCAATCCCTAAGGGTTTCCAGAGATGTGGAATGCAGGATGTAAGTATTCCTGCATGTAATTTTGCGACGCCTTGTTTTGACTGACCAATCACTCTTTGACTTTCTTTTCTTTTGTAGTGGTGGCTCGCTCACCCCGTCCCGTTGACGACATTAGGTCGTGGGTGGCGGGGTTGATACCGCATGCGGAGAGATGCCGTACTTGGGCTGAGTTCCGCAGATTGTACGGCCCAACTGGTAACAACCTTCCCTGTTTCTTTTCGTTTTGTTTTAGCTTGGAGACTTTTTTACCCGATGTGCTTTTGTTTGGCAGGTCGGGGTGTTTCTACAAAGACGAAGAAGAAGAAAACCGACGCTGGCCCGTCTATGGTAGAGTCCGACTCCGATGGGGGAGACATATTCGTGGGCGGCTCGCCTAGAGATAGCCCCCTTTCGACTCCTCAGCAAGGGGCTACATCGGTAGCTGCATCGGAGGCGGTGCCTGAGGCTGCTTCCGTGGAGATACCTGAGGCCGTACCAATAACGGCACCTGAGACCGTTCCTGCGCCGGTATCTGAAGTCGCTCCAGTGGAGGCGGCTTCCGAAGGAGAGGAACCGCCGGAGAGAAAGAGGCGGNATAGTCCGTGTCGCTCGTGAAACTTGTGGGTATAGTTTTGATTCCCCAGACCGGGCGGGCTATAACTCCGAAGATGTCAACCGTCTAGAATCCGACTCTTGGATCTCTGCGGCCTATCAGGCAGAGGACGGCGGCGGACGAGATGGCGATCCGTCGGAAGGCGTTTGATCAGGATGGCGAGGCCCCTTAGGACTTGTATTTATTTTGTTTTGCTGTACTTGGAAATGTAAATGGGTCCTTTTTGTACATGCATTTTTGGATGATAATGGAAGTTATACTTTTACTGTTCTTTTCTTTCTGTATCTTTTATTCTCGGCCTTAGCTTTGTTGATGGTTTTAGCCGTGTGTGCAACTTCGACTATCTTCGAGTTACACGCTGTTATAGTCGAGCTGGGTCGACTTATCGGCGTCGATGGCCTTAGCCATTATACGGTTGATGGCCTTAGTCGTGTGGGTGACCGGCTGTCGTCGAGTCGTTTACTCACCTTAGTCGAGCTGGGTCGACTTATCGGCGTCGATGGCCTTAGCCATAATGTAATTGATGGCCTTAGCCATGTGGGCGACTTCGACTGTCGTCGAGTCGTTTACTCACCTTAGTCGAATCTAGGTCGACTGTTGGCGGCGATGGCCTTAGCCATAATATAATTGATGGCCTTAGCCATGTAGGCGACTTCGACTGTCGTCGAGTCGTTTACTCGTCGTAGTCGAATCTGGGTCGACTGTTGGCGGCGATGGCCTTAGCCATAATATAATTGATGGCCTTAGCCATGTAGGCGACTTCGACTGTCGTCGAGTCGTTTTACTCGCCGTAGTCGAATCTGGGTCGACTGTTGGCGGCGATGGCCTTAGCCATAATATAATTGATGGCCTTAGCCATGTAGCGACTTCGACTGTCGTCGAGTCGTTTACTCACCGTAGTCGAATCTAGGTCGACCGTTGGCAGCGATGGCCTTAGCCATAATATAATTGATAATATAGTTGATGGCCTTAGCCATGTAGGCGACTTCGACTGTCGTCGAGTCGTTTACTCACCGTAGTCGAATCTAGGTCGACCGTTGGCGGCGATGGCCTTAGCCATAATATAGTTGATGGCCTTAGCCATGTAGGCGACTTCGACTGTCGTCGAGTCGTTTACTCACCGTAGTCGAATCTAGGTCGACCGTTGGCGGCGATGGCCTTAGCCATAATATAATTGATGGCCTTAGCCTTTCACACATTGGAGATGGCCGTAGCCTTTCATACATTGGAGATGGCCGTAGCCTTTCATACATTGGAGGTGGCCGTAGCCTTTCATACATTGGAGATGGCTGTAGCCTTTCATGCATTGGAGGTGGCCGTAGCCTTTCATACATTGGAGATCAAACTAGTCCAGTCCCTTTATCATGTCGGCCTGGAGGTCGTAAGGAGAGGTTGATATGATAAACTTGTTTCGCAAATATCTCCAAGTGTCCCCTCCGCCGCCTCGTTAAAAACCTCCCCGAGAAAACCCAATTGGGACAAAACTCGGGTAAGGGAAAAAGAGTACGACTCGGGAGACGCCTTTCAGAAGTGGAAATACTTGAGGTGAGTAACGTTCCAGTTGTTTTGGAGCGTTTTCCCTTCCATTGTTTCCAACTGGAATG